GGTTTTTATTTTATTTTATTTTGACATGAAGTCTGGCTCAGCCATCCAGGCTGGATTGCTGTGGCACCATCTGGGCTGAGCCTCCCGAGTAGCTGGGATTACAGGCGTCTGCCACCACGCCCGGCTAATGTTTGTATTTTAGTAGAGACAGGGTTTCACCATGTTGACCAGACTGGTCTCGAACTCCTAACCTGAGGTGATCTGCCTCCCTTGGCCTCCCAAAGTGCTGGGATTACAGGCATGAACCACGGCGCCTGACCTCAGTAGAGTTTTTTAAAAAATAAGCAAAGCCTCCCAATCCCAAACAATAGGAATGTATTTTCATCACACCAATTTGTACTTTTATTTCTTATTTTTTTCTTATTCTTGAGGTTAGATTCTAAACCCTAAAGATACCCAAACTAGTATTAGATCTAGTTATCTATAGATAACTAGAGACAGCTAGTATCAAGTTGTCTTTAGCAGCCAAGGTGATTAAAATGCCTTTTCTCCAGGAAGATCCAATCGGAAAAAAGAAAGAAAGAAAGAAAGAAAGAAAGAAAGAAACCTCTCTGATTAGGTTCCAACCATACTCCACCCTCCATCAAATTGACTAGATAGGCATAATGGAAACCGGAACACGTGGTTTCCAAACAAGAAAAATCCTATCAGGGAGGGGAGGAAGGGAGAGGAAGGTTCAGCCAGTGCCCAGACTGAAATTGAGTAATTTCAATTTCACTCATCTTCACATATCTTCAGGTTGCATGTTCGTGGAGTAGTTTAGGAATAAATCCATGGTTTGTGGACTACTACAATACCTAGTCGTCTACTGTATTACATTAAGGCCTTCCCCAGCAGCTTCCAAGGCAGCCTCCAAGTCACTAGCAGGAGAATTTGGGTGGAACTGCAAGCAGGACTGCAGAGATTCCTCTCCACAGTTATAGAAGGGACTGTTCCAGGCCTGATTGTTCCAGGACTGGGTGCACCAGGTCTGAGCGTTCCAGAAGTGTTTGCTCCAGAACGGGATGTTCTGGGTCTGGTTGCTCCACATTGGAAGGTTCCCATTTGGGTTTACCAGGCATCCCTGGTGGCAGGAAGAGTAGAGGCTGGGGTAGGTAGGTACTGAGGCCTTCTGAGTCACACTGTTGCTATTCTTTGTCCAGTTGTTTTTCTGCCACGTCTTAGATTTCATTATCTGGTTCTGGAAGCCAGTCTTCACCTGTTTGTAGCTAAGGTTCAGGATGTTGGAAAGTTCTTGCATCTGCTGGAGGCTGAGGTATTTCTGTCTCTGAAATCTATCACTGAGTACACACAGCTGGGCGGAAGAGAACACAGTTCTGGTCTTCTGTTTCTTGACCAAAACCTTGTCTTCCTTTTTTGTGGCACTATTCTCTGCAGAAGTGGATTGTTTGCCTTTGGGATTGGTGGAAGAATCAGGGCTGTCCTGAATAAGCAGATCCATGGAAGAAGGAAAAGGAGAGACAGTCTCTGTGTGAGGCATCTCAGCAGAAGACATTTGCAAGGATGGATGGTTTTCTTCAGACCCACAAACCACAGGTGTAGGTGACCAGTCTTTACAGTCGGATGCTTCGGAGCAAGGCAGGCTTTATGGACAAGCTGTACTCACACTCATGTCATTATTGGAGAAGAGTAGGAAAAATTTAAGAGGTGGACTGGAAAAAAGGCTAAGATGGCTTTAAGACTTTTTTCTGGAAGATCTTAGAGAAATATGACCTCCAGGAGCGAAAGTATCAAGAAGCTGGGATGAAGTGAGTCGCCTTCACAATAACAGGAGGCAGCCAGCTCAGTCCAGCAAAAATCCATTCATGTTTTTAAGTTCACATACACTGTATCGACTTGGATTTGTTACTGTTAATTCTAAAAATACTCCTGTTTATAAAAGAGGCTGTTTAGTTTTCTAGAGAAAAGTCTGCCTATTTGTCTTAATGTGAACTTGAGGATTTGGAGATTCTGTGGCCAATTTTGATCAATATAAACAGATAATTTGAATAGTTCAGATTTAAAAAATAATCCACACCACTCTGGATTTCAGCATCCCAAACTCTTCTAGCCCTTCTGGTGACTCCTGAAAGGTGTCCCACCTCTCTGTAACTCAGTTTCCCTCAGTGTAAATATCATACTGCGAAGCAACAGGGATTGGAACATCAATGCAACAGATATTTCCTAAGTACTTCATTATTTTCAGTTCAATGTCCAAGGTGCAGACCTTACATACAGTACAGTCATTTATAATTTAGGAGGCTTCCTTAACTATAAAAAATTCTCTTATATTCAAATAAACTAGTGCAGCCAGAGCTTTTATATAGGAGTGGGAGTTAGAGTGAATATCTAATGATCTTTAAATGTGTTAAACTTCCATAATGTTTCCTTGAAAAAAATGTGTACTTACCTATATTTATATGCATTTAAATGCCTAAATACAGACCCATGAACAGATATAAATTTGCTGTCTTTGATATCCTAAAATGACTGATGGTCATGTGCATAAAAGCTAGTCTGAGAACCCTGGAGCCTGCTAGACAGGTTGAGCTTCTGAGTAAGCACTGCGGCTACTGCAGTGCTCAGCCCACATGATATGTTTTGCTTAAAGGCAACTATCCAATACCCGGCCGGATGGATGATGGTGAACATTTTGGTTTAATACTGCTTATTACTAAGTCACTTTAATCTGCCTAAAATTGTTCACAGAACATTGTCCTTATATTTTTCTGGGAAGTTACTTTTCCTTGGGCTACTGTTGGTTCTGCTTTAGCGTCCTTGGTTCAGTCATTTTTAATACTTGGTCATTCAAGCTTAATTAAATGAGAATAATTACGGCCAAAATGCCCAGGAAGTATCGGATGGCTTTTTGGTTTTGTTTCCCTGCTATCTTATGGTACTGATAGAGCTCCCACAGATCAGCAGCTCAGTAGAGGAGGGAGGCTCTACAAATGTCACTTTAAATATATTTACATTTTAGAGGAATTGGCTTGCTAGTTGTAGTCCATGTTAATAAATCACCACAGAATCCCACATACTGTTAGTAGCAACAGAACTTGGTGCCTTACATTCAGAGAAGTTGTAATTGAAATTCAGGGTATTAAAATTGTGTTGGGTAGCCAGGTGCAGTGGCTTATGCCTGTAATCCCAGCACTTTGGGAGGCTGAGGTGGACAGATCACAAGGTCAAGAGATCGAGACCATCCTGGTCAACATGGTGAAACCCCATCTCTACTAAAAATACGAAAATTAGCTGGGCGTGGTGGCTTATGCCTGTAGACCCAGCTACTCAGGAGGCTGAGGCAGAATTGCTTGAACCCGGGAGGCAAAGGTTGCAGTGAGCTGAGATCCACCACTGCACTCCAGCCTGGTGACAGAGCAAAACTCCATCTCACCAAACAAACAAAAAAAAAAAAGATTGTGTTGGGCTGGAAATAATGAAAAAATCAACAAATAGAATCTTAATCATGTACGGGAATTGCCTTGTTTCACTCAACAGAAGTCTAGGGCACACAATCTAGAGTTGACAAGGCAGCTGGATGATGCTATCAGGAAACTAAGCTGATTTCATCTTTTACTTCCTTCTTTCTTTTTCATGCGTGCTGCCTCATGGCTATAAGATGGTTGCTGCCAGGCATCAGGTTTGTGACTAGGAAGAAAAGAGAAGAGCAAAGAAATAAAACTCCAAAGGGACATGCAGACAAGTCTACATGTTTTAAAAACCTTTCCCAGAAGCCCCACGTGGCCACTTCTATTTTCATAATCATTGCCATAGCTTCATCTCAGACTAATCTCTGAAAAGGAGCAAGGCAAATCAGTGTCATGGATGGGCATTCAGTCATATTGCCATACTTAGCCTCACAATTGACCCAGTCCAGTGAAGCTAGGGTTCCAATCAAAGAACATCTTGTGGGGTGTATCACTTAACTATAACATCTGTCCTGGTGTTAAGGCATCTCTTGAGAGACTCAAGGACTTTTTAGGAGGTGACAGATGACACTAGGGAACACACTGTTTCTTAGCTGGTAAGAAGAGAAAGCAATCCAGTATAGATGTGCATCCCTTGAGAAATATATAAAACAATAACAATTATTTGATTCTTAAAAATAATTATTTTTCTTAAATAGGAAAGCTCCCCAAATGTTTTCAAAATACAATTTAGTTTTTTGAAAAAAAGATTTATACATAATTTTTCTGGACTAAATCTGCTACGTAAAGCAAGATAATCCTGTCCTTTTGAAAAGTTTATTTTGCTTTTGAGTACCGACTGTGTAGGTTGATGCAAAAGTAATGGCAAAACCACAACAACTTGTGCACCCACCTAAAATCTTAGTAGCTCAGTTACATACTTATCTATCCTCATCAGTCCAGCTTTTCTTGTATCTTCCAAAACATGTTCCAAGTGAGCTGAGAACTTTCCTTTACAAGTTCTGTCTTGTTGGTTGGAAACATGAATGGCTGTTTTCTCAGTCTTGAAACTGACATTGTTGCATGTTGGTAGTTGACACATGGTGGGAGGAGCATAATTTTATATCTAAGAACACGATAAGCACCAAAACAAATGAGGAAATATTAGACCTTGCTGTCACCCCTATGCTCACAGATAAGTGTCTGAGTGAAATTGTTTGCAGAAGGCACCCAATGAACTTCATACACCCATATGTGCAAAACATTTAACCAGTTGCTCTGAAATGACGCTCCAGTTGGGAGGGTACAGATGCAGGAACTTCCTGTAACCACACTGCCCATGACGCCTGCCTTATCCTCACCTCCAAGCCCTGCTGTTGTCTAAAACCTGTGCTATTCCCACCAGACTTACTCAAGTTCCAGCTTTCATTTCATCAGTGAGTGATCTTTATATATCACAAATCCAAGCACGTGACTTCATTCATTTAAAACCTTCAATGGCTACCCATTACTCTTAAGATGAAAAAGAAACGTCTTAACATAGCTTATAAGAGTCCTCATGATCTTGCTTCCACTTAACTTCTTGCGCCTTCATCTCAACACTCTCCCACTTTGTAATTGAAGGTCAAGTACTCTAAATTTCTTAGAGTTGTTTGAACGTGCTTTCTCTCTCATGCCTCTGGCTCTTTGCCCACACTGTTGCCTCTCACTTTCTTTACCAGGCTTATACTCATCCTGTCTGAATATGTCTCCAGAAAGCCTTCTCTGACCCAACAAGATGGGGTTACCATGCCTCCTATATGTTTCCTAATTTCACTTTTGACTTTTTTTCTTTTCTTGAAACAGGGTCTCTCTGTGTAGCCCAGGCCAGTCTTGAACTCCTGGGTTCCAGCGATCCTCCTGCCTTGGCCCCCGAAAGTGCTGGGATTACAGGTGTAAGCCACTGTGCCCAGCCTGTTTGCTTATTTTTAGTACCCTGCTTTTCTGTTTACTTGTCTATTTTCCCCCAAAACATGTCTGGGTGCAAGGAGTGTGTCTGTTCCATTAACTATTCTCAATGCTTAGGACATAGTTAGCCCTTAATAAATATTTACTGAATTGTTGTATGCAAGAATGAATGAATCAAAAGTCTCCTTATTCTCAGCCCAGATAAATTCTTCTTAGTCATGATAGATAATTCAGTAAAATTTTGTACCATAAACCAAAAGGCTTTGAAAAGTTTTATTAAGTAAATATCTTTGATTTCTGTCATTAAACGATCATCCTCAAAGCCTGGAAAACTATTTTTCACCTGATGTAACTCATAACTTATGAAGAAAAATAAATGTTATCCCTAAGTTTCAGTTTTACTTTTAAAAGGATAAGGAATTTTAGATTAATTTAATGTTTTTCTTAGACTCTCCCATAGAGGAGAAGCTTTAGGAGCTTAGTGAGACATAGGTTTACCTTCTTTTTTTTTTTTTTGAGACGGAGTCTTGCTCTGTCGCCCAGGCTGGAATGCAATGGTGGGATCTCGGCTCACTGCAACCTCTGCCTCCCGGGTTCAAGTGATTCTCCTGCTTCAGCCTCCTGCATAGCTGTGATTACAGGCGTGTACCACCACACCCGACTAATTTTTGTATTTTTAGTAGAGACACGGTTTCACCATGTTGGTCAGGCTGGTCTCAAACTCCTGACCTTGTGATCCAACCACCTCGGCCTCCCAAAGTGCTGGGATTACAGGCGTGAGCCACTGCACCTGGCCAGGCTTACCTTCTTAGAGGCATGGTATTGTGGCAACAATGGTGCATATATCCTGTGTCTCTTAGTGTAGAGTAGAAGAGATGGTCTACTACTTTTCCTTTTCCTCTCTTTTCAAAATCTTTGCTTTTTTTAATGCACTGATTTTTTTTTTTTGTAATTACAATATTAGCCAGAAGTATTTTATTGTAGGATTTTTTTTTGTAGGATATAATTAATTTTGATATGCATGTTATCAAAGTGATGTCATCTTTGAGATAGGAAATCAAAAAGTCCTGAAAGATTCTGGATGAGAGTGGCTGAAGATAGGTAGCTAAATCATCATGATAAAAGCATGAAATAGTGGCTCAAGCTCAAATTTTAAAATCTC